GGACTGCACACTCGGTCTTGCACTGGAGACCGTTTGCACGAAAGGTTCACGGGACTGGCTCAGAAATGCACCGACTTGGAAAAAGCCCGAGCAGGCTTCCAAACAGCTGTGGGAATTTCCCATCCATCGTTATGTAGAGTAAACTCATGTCTCATGCTCGGGCCTGTAAAACATCCACTAGAAGGAACTCTGTCCATGCAACTGCAGTGCTTCAGAAGTCCATGATTTTAGACCCATCAAAACTCCTACTCGTGTTTCCATAAAGGCTCCAATTGTATTAGACCTTCTGGGACTATCGTGGTTTTGAATGTGCAGAACGGAGCACCATTTTCCCCATGAGCAAATCCGATAGGATGTGCAGAGCACAGCGCTCAGGACAGTCAAAGAAGGGACTTGATGCGGAAGGAGCAGGATTGGAAGGTTGAATTTGCAAAGGGCAAAGATGAATTAAGACCAGAAACACCTTCTGAACAAGACGAACGGCCACGCTGAAGGACAAAGTCCTGTGAAATAAACCTGAACACAGTCACTTAGTCAAATTCACAGAAGCACCAGGTCACGGCCACCTTACTCCACCACTTTGGACATCTGAGTGTGGTCTCACTGGATTTTAGTGCCGTATTTAACAGGTCATAAGAGCCAAGAGCTCCTTGCTACCACCGCTGAAAGCCATGCAAATCTCTCGACTAACTTCAACAACTACTGGCTCTGCTTCCAGTTCCTGGATTTTAAGTGTAAGTAATGAGCAATGTTAGGCCAGTTCCAAGTACTCCGTGTTCCTTCCATGAGCTGGGGAAAGATTATAAAATGTCTTTCTAACCTGGCAATAAACAACCCGAGCCAAGTTGCGGATTTTGTATTCCCCAATAAGTTGCCTTTAAAAGCAATTGTGAGAGAGTATGATGAGGGAAGCACAGGAGCTTCCAGGAAAGCATTTTTACCCTAGCCTGACCTCCAGCAGGGAGACACAGCAGGTCACTAAGGTCTTGCTGCTCTAGCACTGTGAGACAGAGCTTGTCTCTATTTTCCAATGAAACCTATTAATAGGTTTGATTGATAGATACATGTAGGTGCAGATGCACTCCACAGCACATGGAGCATTTACCTGGAGCTCCCAAACTGCTTTAAATTCCAAGACTGTTACTTCCTGCACCTACTGACAGCACAGGACCCCTAAAGGTTTGCAGAAGGCTGAATGGACTCCCTATGCCTTGGTGGGATGAGGTGAGCAGCAGGGTCTGCAAGGGATTCTGCAAGAGGCAGGCATGGAAGGGCTGAGCTGAGGTCCTGGAAAACATCTGAGTTTGACAAGGAAGAACGGTCTTTTGGTGCCAGTCTCGCTGCGAGTCTCCCCAGGGATTACAAAAAGGAACACAAAATCACAACACACACATTTTGGTGAAGTTCCTAGGAACAAATGGGAGGAATCCTGGCTACCTACCAGCCTTAAAAGACATTTGAGCAGTACCATAAAGGCATCCTTTCCACCACGAATCTCAGCGCAAGGAGAACATCTAGTGCCCAAGGGGAAACCCTGCCTCTATAAGATAACCCTCAAGAGCCTGTTGCATTAACGCTCATCCCTTCCACTACTGCCTCTGCACAAAACCCAGCAGAATGACTGAACAGCCCAAGCCAGCTCACAAGGAGCAGTGAGTAACATGGAGTGCTAGCAGGTGCCTTGGTTGCACGTGGTAATGCAAGAGTTTCACTGAGGCTCCTCAGCACTCAGTTCATGAGGCATCTTTCCATACACAAACTGTCCTTCAACATATAGTTTTACACTGAGCAGAGCAATGTCTTATTGCATGAGAGTTTGGAGGAGTCCTGAGTAAAGAGAATGATCATGTTTTGAGGACGTTCATTATTCATTTTCCCAGGAATCATGGATACGCCATGTAATTATAAAAAGCTTTGGAAACGTCACAGTGAAAAATATCTCATTTTTGGTGCAAGAAGAAAGAACTTGTGGATAAGGCGCTACGCTGAGATGGGTAGCTGGGGTTCAGGACATGCTTCCAACAATTTATTAGTAATCTAATAGTAATCTCAGCTGAGATTACTATTATTCATGCTACAGTGACAATCACTGTGCTAAACGCCTACAGATAAGAGAAGAATTTTGTGTCCGGAAGGTTTACTATTAAGAACCGAAAGACAGGCAAAGGATGAATCATAACACCCATTTTACTGGTGGAGAACTGAAGCAGAGAAAATTTCAGTGACACATGGAAGATCACATAGGAAATTTCTGGTCAAGTTGTGACTGAACCTAAATTTCTCTCCATTATTAGCCTTAGATTCAGAAATTTCCTCCGCTTCTGGGAGCAAGGAGTTTTGCTCTTCATCAAGCTCTTTATGCATGTCATGTTAACAGGATAAAAACACTGGGTGGATGGGAGATGCTACAGAGAATAATCCACATATTAAGGTGCATCCTGATATTATGAACAAGATGCTAGGAACTCAATAACTTCCAAACGACTGAGGAAAGGGGCGCACATGCATGAGACTCTAATATCTTGACATGAGCCAGGTTACGTTGGCCACTCCCAGATAGTTGTATGTGCTTCCTGGTCCCAACCAGGAAGACATAAATGTCTTAGTCTTCATCAAAACACATAAACATCTCCATTTACCTTAGGTGAAAACCACGAACCATGAGCTGGGAGCGTGCAACACAGCCACCCGCAAAAAGCTTCTTGCTTTGCTTTCTGCCAGCAAGCTCCAAGATCCAGATTCTGCAAAATTCTTGCATTTCAGGAAAAGGGGACTGCAGACAAGAAAATGTAGCCTGAAACTCAGGGTCTGATTGTCATTTATATTCACAATTATAGTTGTGCATATCTCTACTACCATGCAGCACTTTGTGGGAGGAGGCTGGAATTTATTAAATAGTTCAGAACTGAACTGCATCAAGTTGAAAACTTGACGTGTACAGGAAAAAATCCTCACCACAATATCACTTTCAGCAGTTATGGAAGCACATAGACACATGGATTAAAACCATAATCTCCTGAAAAGCTTGCATTCAGACAGCCTACTGATTAGCAAGTAATAAGAGATCACTTACATTTATAGTCAATATAGTGCAGCCAAGGAACAGAATGAAAATTGTTCTCCTTGTGGTCTACTCGATGAGATACGGGTTTACTAAACACAAATAAAGTGTTTCAGTTCTGGTTGGCACAGAGATTCAGTAGGACCACAGATGAGACAGCTAAAAATCTTGGCTTAGCCGTAATAGTCTGCAATTGGGGAACTTCCCATGAAATCCGGCTGTCAGAGCTGCCAGTCTTTGGAAACCACAAGCATTTGAAGAGATGAGCAAGAGGCCTGATACACTCATCACCACTTGACGGCACTCTGATGCCTTGATTCTAGAAAACATGTTTTCCACTTGAGAATAGTTTTATGTAAAGGCTTGGAAAACAGTCATATTGGAAACCAAGGTAGATGACCCTGATAGCTCTTTCTGATCTTAAAAAGCAGATAGTCTGTTTAGGCAAACGTGAATTATGAAGCCTACCATGGTATGTACTGATTTCTATGCATTTGTCACCACTTCCGTACAATGTAGGCAATGAGTTTTGCAAACCTTTGTGAACGCCATAAGACGCACTAGAACTGATAACGCTCTCCAGGATGCAACGCTGCATAGCCAGCATATCCAGCAAAAGAACCCAGGCAGCCCAACAGATTCATTTCTTAAGGAGAATTCAGCCACTTCAATGAATACAGATTCCTTCTCCAGCCTCTGGCATTCAGCAGGTTGGCAGCATTGCAAGTTGCTGAATGGAGATGTCGTAATGGAAGGGAGCCCTTGGCACTGCTACACACCTGCAGTTACCTTCTCCCTCTATTTGCGACTTCACGGCTGTAAATAACGTTCACCACCATAAAAACCATTGCATTAAAAGCATGTGCAATATGGAACTAATCCAACATTTCCAAACAGGTCTTTCTTCCTCGAGTCAAAGGGCTGGCTTTGCGCTGAAGCTCACAGAGATTCATACTCATTGCCAATCTAGAAGCAAAATGCAGGATAGTGTGTGTTTGACAAACCTGGGATAAATACTACACAATGATGAAATGACTTTTGAGCATCATCAAGTGTTAAAAGATGGTCCTAAGCTTTCCTACGCTTCAGAGGTCCCAGTTCAGTCTGGGTTTTAGCCTCCCCATATGCTGATCCTTAACAAACCTGTTGATTAATCCAGGGATTCACTTTCCACCAACGAAAAACAGGGAAGGGGAATTTGATGATAGGGAGTTGATGATGAGTTCAACATTCAATCACAGTATCCCTAAGTGCTGAATGACCCAATTACGCTTTGAGGGAGTAGTCAAGAGTCCAGAATCACCCTCAAACTCAGGCTTCCAAGGTTGGTATTGAGCTCCCATCCCATCTGGGGCTGCAGAAAAACGTCCTGTTATTACCAAAATTTCAATGATTCCACAGAAGACATTCAAAGTCCCCAAAAGAAACAGATTTAAGCTCTTTCAAACTCACTCATTCTTTCTGGTCCTGACGGGTGATATTAGTTGGAAGACACCAGAGCTTCAACTTAGTCTAGAAAAAGGCAAATGAGCAGGTTTTAAGTAATAGATTTTTTTTCTCTTGTTAAGAGAAATTATGATCAGAGGAAAAAAAAAAAGTCATATTTATGAACCAAGAGGCTGTTCAAATCATAAAGCATCCCAGTAGTTCAGTAGCTCTTATTCCAATACCTAAGAGTTCAAGAAACTGCTATGCAACACAGGCTCCATATCCCTCTGTACTGTTTGTAAACCTTGATTTACAGCAGTAAATATTTTGTTAAAAAAATAAGCAGGCAAGAGAGAAAAATCGCTATTCCAAGATATTTAATATGACTGAAAGTCCTCCGGGTGGATGAAATTCAGCTAGGCAGCAAATGTACAGCTCTAGAAAGGTTCACTTCTTACAAACAGTATTACAATTGTGCTTAAGCATGGACACGATAGACTAACACAAAACACATTACAGAATCAAATACAACAGGTGGTGCTAAAAAAAAACCCACAATAATAAATATTATGGCACAAAGAATGCTAAAGTAAACTAAGTGCAAGTAGTATTTTTGGCAACCTTGGTTTAGACTAATTAAGGTGAGAGACCCCTTCCTAGTCAACACCAGGTTCAGTTAACATATACGGTGTGCAAAATGAAAATTTTTAATTAACTAGTTATGTAAACATTACCGTCTTCTCACAGTAAAACAACAGTGATTTGGGTATCAGAAAAAAATGAGAACTCCAGACAATATTTTATTTCACAGTACATATTGTGTATGTATAGATAATCACCATATTCAGCAACTAGATATAGTGCATGCCAGTAACAACTCGAACTGTTAAACGAAGGACCTGCAGTGCAGAAGTACAATTTTCTCCAATACTAATAAACTAATATGAAGCAATACAAAACAAGTGAGAACAAGGTCTTAAAAACAACACACTGTCATTTACTATACCTTTCTTTAAAAGGTAGGCTGTATTACTTGGAAAACAGGAAAAAAATATATCAACTGCCAGTGGAATAAACAGCTGAAAGCTTCACTCGTTAAAAATATTGCACCAACAGTGCTGTGGGTTGTATTCTAAAAGCAATACAATAAGAATTTTGTACATATTAAAACACTAAAAAATGAAGAGATAACAACAGCTACTTTGAACTAAAATAGCTGATGAATTGTGAAAGTCAGTGAAATGTGAGGTGACCAGCAAGTCTATCTTTCAAGTTCTCTGCTACAGGCAATACATGGGGTTACCTGGAATCCTTTCCATATAGTAGCCAGTGAGTTCAGGGGGGAAGAGGTTTCCACTGATCACAGACCAGAGGGAGCTAATTGTAAACTCAGTGAAAAATATTAGGCAATAACTGATAACCACTCCCTTTTATTAGAGAAACTTAGGGCTACAAGAAGTCTTGACACGCTTCCTCCCCAGTTACCGCAAATCAATAGTAACTCTATTGATCTGTAGACCTGTACAACTGTCAAAAGACACAGACGCAGAATGGTCAAGGTTGGAAGGGACCTCTACAGATCATCTAAGTCAAACCATCATCAAGACTGGGTCTATGATCATCAGGACTCAGCAATCCCTTTTTGGAAAAGAGATGCAGGTGTTGAAACTTTGGCACTTACTCTTAATAAGTGATTTCAGTAAGCAAAACACTTGTGTAATGGCAACAACTAAATATGCTCATCCAGAAGATGTCTTAACCAATACGTGCACATTCACCATCCAACTCCCCTGCTTTCCCAGGACACGGCAATATAATGCTGTGGCCGCCAGCCCTTCATTATCCTTATAAAATTACTGGGTATATTAAAAACATGACTGAAACCCCTCTAATCTATTTGTTCAATGTTCACAGAGTTTTACCACCATCATTTGCCCATTTCAGCATTAGTTTATAAAAAAGAAAAAAAGTCCCAATGATTAACAGTTAGACATCTGGGCCTTAGTTCAGGTATTAGGTATTTTCAAGAAAGACCTTGAAAAGCAATTAATAGGCTGTAATCATCTAAAGAAGTCTCATATGCAGTTTATTTCTCCCTCACCTCTATGTTGAAATTAGAAATAGTCTTTCAAAAGCAGTAACACAAAACAGCAGCATAAAAACTGATTGAGATGAAACCACAACACACCATATTTACAGATTATCTGTAGTAGAGAATTCTCTCTCATTGTTTCACCATGATTAAAAATCTTGGCCTTTTTAACCCTAAAACAGTCTTCAAAAATCATCTAAGTCTGGAGACAATTTTGCATCTCTCAGAAATGCAGCATCGGCAACACCGTATTTCAGACAATACTGCGAACAGCTCTCCCAGAACCAAAGTGTCTATAAAGCAACAGTCCTTAAAAACACAAGTGCCCGATTCTCCTCCTCTTCTCATCACCATCCCCAGAGGCTGCTACGTCAGCTTCTTTATTCTGCGGTTCTGCTTGTCGATATTCAGCGTTGCTCGGTCTACCGAGGAGGTGATGGAGTCGAGGGCTTCATCCTGTCTCTCCAGTTCTGCCTCTGTCTCTAAGGCCAGGCCCTTCAGTTTCTTTAGGATCTGTCAGAAGAAAAGACCGAGAGCTTTCACTGAACCGTCAGCCTGCTCCTTGAGAAGTGTTACAAACACGTGGAATTTAGTTAACTCTTGGCTTTAAATGACTTATCATTTGTTGAACTTGTGTCCTGACCTGTGCTGGCAACATTCTCAGGAAAAAGAAAAACCAAATTGGTGTTTCTGTGCTAATAAACTGAAGCAAGGTGTGTAACACTGCACTGGAATAGAACACAGCAGAATCCAGTCTGAAATACTAGGGAAAAAGAAACAGAAGTAAATAACAACGTAAAATCAACTTTTGTTGGCTCTGTTATCATCTCCTTCTTTGGTTTGCATCTCAGAGACGTCGTATGTCCTGAAACACATCCCAAGAGCCTACATGAGCAGCAAACAGTGCTGCTGCAAAACCAGAAAGGTTAAACCTTAGATGGGGATCAAGTCAAAGAAGAACCGGGTTCTTTCATTACAATCTGCTGGGGAAAGAAGTGACGATGGCTGGAGCAGAAGGGAAGAAGCGAGCCTTAGGCATCTGAACAAAAGCATTTTCAAGGGACTAGAGGGGCAGTGTGGTGGGCAAGGATGCCAACGTGGCCAGACAAACTCAAGCTGTGCCTGAGATAAACTACACAGGCATCACCTAGCACTCTGTCCCCAGGTGTGAGCAGCAGGATACTGCTGTACAACCCTACACAACTTACGCTTCATAGATATGATGGTCAACAAACTGAACCGGTGAAATTCAAAGCTGAAAAGCAATAAAGATCAGCTTAGGTGATGGTTACGGATGACTTTTGGCTTAAAGAATTTGGCAACCATGCTTTTTCACTCTTACTATGCTGTATTAGGACTACTGCGGATAGGGCTTTTCAGGTGAAGTGCCCCATAGAAATGATATCGCAACTTTGGATGTTTGCTGACCATCATATCTATGAAGCATAAGCTGTTTCTGAACAGCTTACCTGAATAATAAGATCTGAATAATCTGAAACAACAGATTCCCAAACAAAGAACGAACCAACACAGGAGAAATTCATCTTAATTCCTTACCCTGTAAGGTTGGCTCTTTTTTAGCAGTAGATTAAGGAACAAATTATATCACTGCCTTTTCTTTGCCCTTGTAGCTCCTCCCTTAATATTTTTGTTAATGTGAAGTGAAACAACCTGTTTGGCACAGGTGACTTGACAAGACTCAGCTGCCTTTCTCAGACACATCTACAGGAGTTTTGGAAGATTGTCCTGCATCACATCACATGGATTGAGATACGCAGCTTCCCAATTCCTTCATATCAGAAAGGGGTTTCCTCTCCTGTTGAATTATATGTTCTCCTTCCTCAGAAATCCATGGAAGGATCCATGATTGCATGCTGCCCAGTTCATAAGAGGAGCTTAACCAATGAACTGGAATAGCAATCTCCAAGAAAACAAATTATCCTACCAACACTGTCCATGATATCAACTACAGTGATACTAGGTAATATTACTTCATTACTTGAGTTGTAATTTAGTAATTAGCATCTAGATAAGACTACTAAAGGTACCAGTACTGCAACCTTTTAACACAATACATCTGTGGACTTTTTTTGATAAAGGGAAAGAAGCTGTACTCTAATCCTTAATCTTTTCTCTTCTTTTCTGTAGTAGCTGGTACCTCAAAACTTCTTTTCTTGTTGTTTTAGAACATATAGAATAAGCTCTCAGAAAGCCTCTGTCAAAGACCAGTTTTTCCACATCTGGGGCTGAATTCCACAGCAGTCCAAAAGTCTGCAGTTACACAAGTCACTGGCTTGAGAAAAGCAGTGAGCAATATCATATCTAACAGGAACAACAGGGGAATTTTATACCAACAAAATGCATCATCTCAAGCTGGATGTTGGCCACAGCAGTAAGATTTATCATATAAAATATCTCCAAGCTCCTTCCATAAATCATAAGCAGCTAGAAACATGGCTGTGTGAAAAGAAAAGAAAAAAGTGCTTTTGTAATCTGGCTGCCAAGGCAAAAAACACACAGCAAAACATGGATCAAACCTATTCTGCCGCCTTCCGTTCTTACCAAAACTACAAGCTGAGAAAATTCCGTTTCTATCCCAAATGAAACACATTAGGTTCTTTCAGGCTAACAGTAAAGCAAGGATGAATTCCCCAAGCTGTTAGATGTTTTTAGGATACACACCAAAAGGCAAATGACGTGATCAGATTTATTCAGTGTGATCCAGGACAGGGATATAAAATAAGGTCGTGACGGTCTCCACTAAGGGCCTTGACTATGTGGATATGGGAAGCACAAGGTGGCTATCCCTCAGTCCTTCCTTTGAGCTTCTTCCACTTAGATAATTATCTATACGGACATATAGATATATACAATATAGATATATACAATAAAGTAGTTGCTACAGTGTGGAATGACTTTTACAGAGCAGCACTGAATGTAAATTGCAGTAATAAAAACTGGAGAATAAAGTTTGGAAGACACCTCTGGAGTGGTCATCTGGTCCACTGATCCCAACAAAGAGTAGGGCCAGCTTCAAATTACAGCTGAAAAAAAAGATTTGTAGGATCCAGTCTCTTCTCCAGCAGACATTTGATTCTTTATACTAATGTAACACGCTTCAGATCTCAACACTCCAGCACATCCTAAAGGTTGGCAGTGAGAGGTATGTGCTGCAAGGGAAGAGATCTGGGTTCAAGCTCGCCCCTGCGAAAAGGGCTCACATGTGGGAAATCTGGGCTTGGAAAGATGAAACTGATGAACTTCCAGCTAAAACAGATCAACAGCAGCTACTTTGCCTAGAAGCTATAGATACTTTTCCCATTTTCTGCTCTCCTCCATCAATGAAAGCCATCTGTGTGTGAAGAAACACAAGAAATAAAGTGTACATTTTTACATATATATATATGTACAATCTCAATCTGCAGCTGATTTAAAAAGGAACCCTGCTGGCATATTTTTAGCAAATTTACAAAGCATTTTATTCAAGAGCATTCAGAAATTTGCTTCTCAACGCAGAACAAAAGCAGAAGCATCCACTGATGCCTTCAAGATCATTGGCCTGATGTAGGAGTTCCTCTGTCCAGGCTCTCCCTCTTCTGCTGCCACAAGGGCTGCTTAGGGAGATCTCATCAAGCACCATTAGCTGCCTGTCACATTCCTAGGTAACATTCTCACCCAACCCAACTTAATCTGTGAAATTCGCCAAGGTGAGGCCAGGAGGTAAACGTGGTTACACATAGGGACAGCCTCAAATATACCTAATGTAGTAAATTTGGGAGGGAGGTAGCATAAGAGGACATAAAAAGGAACCCAGGACAGTCACCATTCCCCATCTCTTGAGGGGGCAACAGCTTTATTAGTAAATTAAAACTGTGACTTAAAATGTGGCCCACATTTGCCAGGACAAACACTTCATTTTTAGTTTTAAACCAGATTACTTTTGATAGGTTTCACATTTAGTAAAGCCTACTAACATTTAAAACACACAAAAGGACACAATTGTTGAGAACATGGAAGCTTTTAAAAACACGAAAGCAGTAAAATGGAAACGTAGTCAGCTCTGGGGCTCAGCTCAGTTTACCTGCCAATTAGGTCTGACTTGAAATGCTGCAGGGAAAGATGACTCGTACCAAAGGGGGGGAAAAAAAAAAAGAGAGAAAAAAAAAGAAGAAATAAAAAATGGGGAAAAAAATAATAATAAAAAAAGAATGATTCACTTTCATCTGTAATCCAGCTTCAAGCTCAAGCCCTTGGGACTTTAAATGGGTAGGAGTTCTCTTCTGGCACAGCATCGAGAGCTTGTTGGATCAAGTACTGGACTCTGAAGTCTGGTCAAACCTGGTCACAATTTTTGCAAAGCAAAATGATGGCAAGATGTCTAATTTACAGCAACCTAGTTCTGCCATTCGCTGAAGAGAAGCGATGCCTTCTGCACCATAATTTGGGTTGGCAAGCAAGACATGAAAACTTGGTGTAAAACTCTTCTCTATTTGTAACACAAACAGCATATATGATCTATCAAAGAATTTTTAAATGTATGTTTCCTGCAAGCACTGGTCATTCTCAGATCCAAAAAAAAAAAAAAGAGCTGAACAGCTTCGGATTTTTGACACAGGATTAGTACTTGGAAAATGTCATTTAGACCCTTGGCTTTGGCAGAGACCTTCTATGCAACTTCAGACAAGTTGCTTAGTCTTCCCATGTTTCCCATGTTCCTGTGTTCCCAAAATTCACACTTTGGAGAGGGAAGAAAATTTGCTACTTCCCTCCAAATCCTTCCTGCATAATGAGTTCAATCACAGTAGACCTGAGCCTTGTCATGAATAGAAGCTTCCATCCCAACTACAGGCCCTTGGTTCCTGTGTGATCCAAGAGGTTCTAGGCAATGGAGAGCAATTTAGACCATGACTCATTTGCCCTGTTTTTATATCAATTTAAGGAGGAGTTAAAGTACTTTCCACTTCGCTCTTAATGTGACTACCTGGAGAATTTCAAGACACACATCGCTAGATTAACAGAAGATAAAACCAAGCCCAAGAACCTGCTCAGGAGCTAACACAATTATTTATGATATTCCACATAGTCAAAAAGTAAAGCATCAGACTACAAGACAATTCTCCACCTTACAGACTGAGTTCAGGTCCTGAGATGGCACCATAATAATGTAGTTTGGCTAAAACTTGTGAAATACCATGTCAGTACACGGAGTATCCAGCAGTCAAAGTGAGATAATGAAAGGGCTGGAATGCAAGAAAGTTCACAAGTTTGACCTACTCAACCCCCTAACTTAATCTACTCCGTTATCCTTGAATTTTGAATGCTAGGGCAGAGCACGTAGAATCCACAACCAGAAATGGTTCCTGGATGCGATTTCCTCAGCCAAATTTACCTGTTAGCTATTGAGACAGAAGGAACTATCATTTACTATGAACTGTGGTGCAAACAAAGGTCTTGAGAGGGAGCTGTGATGATTTCACAGAATTACAGAATAGTTGGGGTTGGAAGAGACCTCTAGAGATCATGTAGTCCAATCCCTGCTCCAGCAGGGACACACCTAGAGCATGAGGCACAGGGATTTGACATATAGCTCTACCTCTGTGCTTAAAATCCTGCAGAAGAGATAGAAGGGGGGACCTCACTTAAAATACTCATAGTCCTATTCTGAAATGAATGGGGGAACCTTTAGGGTTTACTTAAATTGAGTGACTTTGCACTGAAGCCATTAGGATCTGCCCACATCTCACCCTGCTGCATCTGGAGAGGGGCTTGGAGGCAGATGCAAAAGGCCAATAATTACTTATTACCTTATTCTCCTATTATTTCTTCTCGGACAGATCTGGAAGTCTGATTTTATTTACTTTCTCAGAGTGTACCAAGCACTCCAAGTACTGAAAAAAAGTCTAATCACTGGTCTTGTTTGGAAAAAACACCCAGATTCACATGCTTAACTACAGCTTTATTATTATTTTGGTATTATCAAATCTTTTTATTACACGCAAGCAAATACAAAGCGTTAATTGTGAGGATCTCAGCTCTCTCTCGCCTTCGAAATAAAACCAACAAAAACTCAAGGCACAATAATTGCTTGTGTCTGTTAACGTTACTTGTCTGCCACTCGCTATTGGTCATGGCATATGGTCACCCCATGAGCAAATCTGGTATTTAGCACTTGGAATAAACAGTTCCTCAACAAGACACTTTTTCTCTGACCTAATAGTTGTGCTTTCCTGAGATGAGGACATGAAAAAAGTGTAAACAAACACAGAAGAGATTGAATTTATCGAAGGATTGAAATGAATCATCAAGAATAGAAGAGACGTGAAGGAAACAAAAATATTCATTAAGATATGTTTTTGCTGAAATGTTACAGAAGGGCCTTCTTCATATATCATTTATCTTTAATGGGATATGTGATCCATATGCCCAGTAAACAGGAACAACAGTTCTCTGGTGGGAGTAGCTAGCTAGGGGTATCTAGCAAGCACTGCTTTGGCAAAATAAATGCAAAACCAGTGAAGAGAACTCCTTTTCCTCCACCACGGACCTTAAGCTAACATTATCACATCCCCTGCCTCACCCAGTGACATTATGACAGTCATAGCAAGGCAATGGGTGGCAGCATAAGACCTCCATGGGCTTCCTTCTCCTCTCCATCTCTGTCACACAGCTAAGGAGCACAGCTCACACTGCCACCAACTGTGTTTTTAACACAAATGTCCCTTCGTGAAGCCTTGATGAGGTGTTTTACTTGGGTATCCCATTGCAACTCCAGTCCACTCAGTGCTTCCAGCTCTAGTAGAAGGAATTTAATATTAGTCAGCAAGTCCTGTTGCAAAAACATCTACTGTTATCAATGTAAGATCTTTTTGAATAGAAGGTAAGTCAACCAGAGACAAAACTAAGCAATGGGAAAGGTTATCTCTTTATCACGAACTCCTCTTTCTTAGAGGGTTAGAACAGGGCTTTTCTGGGCTTGGGATTTTTTTTCTTAAGAACAAAAGAAAAAAAAAAGGACTTGCATTAAAGATTATCAAGGAATAAGCTGGAATAAACAATCTTCAAGAAGGAAATGGCTCAGAAAAGTACTGCAGTTACTAACACAAGGACTCCACATACCTTTAGCTCATTCCCAGAAGTGTTACAGTTGTCACTATCTGCAGCACACATTAATGCCCTCTATTTAAAACAATTTTCACCCCAGATCTCTAAATGCTTTGCAAATATGATCAGTCACCACTTCCTGCTCATTTGCAAAGCAGGAGGAGAACTAAAGTTGTGCAAAGCATCTCTGAGAGCAGCTGTAATAACAAAGACAAGCCCTTGGTGCAGGCTCAGACCACATGATGTGTTTGAAAGTCTACAGAGGACAGAGGAGCAGACTACACCTCAGCAAGGAGAACCCTACATCCTAGATCATGACTTAAGGTTACACAGATCAAACCAGGAGTGAAGGCTCTTACTTCCCTGCTTTGATTTCTATTTATGGGCTTAATCTGCTTACCAATTACAAAACGAAGGAATACAGTATAAAACCTTAACATAGCATAGTAGTCCATTCAAAGGCTTACTCAGATGGAGTTTCAAGCTCTGCATCTCTAAAGCCAAGAGAGCATTCTGCAATACCTTTAGTGTACGGCAGCTTTGGCATTTGTCATGAACCCCATTAGAAAGCAGCCAAACTACACAACTGCCCAGTCTGCCTTCTTGGTAGGCACCTGCCCCAAGGTCTCTCAAAGTAAATGTGCATCTTCAGTAGCCCTTCATGACCAAGAGCCCTTCATACAGTGCTGAGCACCTCCAGGTCTGGAGGCAAGTCACAATTATAGTGCTGAAAAGGCAGCATTTAAGAGAGGAACAATTACGTAACAACTGTACAAAGTGTATTCACCTATGAATAACAAACTAAAAGACATTTTTAGTTACTCTTTAGTCACTGCTGTCAACTTGTGACTCTCAAATGCACTCAGCTGTAGGGAGTGGTTGTATTCTGATTCCTAACTATAAAGTAAGGGACAGAATTGCAAAACTGCTGTGTAGAATGAGGCAAAAGGGTTAGCAAAGACTTTGCACGATGCTATCACTAAGCTACTGATGGAATATTAAATAGAGAATGAGAGGCTAGGAAAAAGAAAGAATGTACTTCAAGAATAATCTTTAGCCTGTAACCACATATTCTGATGAGGCTATAATCATCATTAGTAATCCTATTCTAAATGGAAAACAAGTAAAAGCCACTTTTCTTTCATTTTTTTTCTAGTTAGTTCACTTTTTCAAATCAACCACACACTAGGGATAGAGAAGGCTTCACTAAAAAAATCTCTAAACATCAGCTAAAAGAGAAATTCCTTAAAGAGATATTTTGAGGAACAATAGGCTGGATTAAATAATTTTTTCCCAGTAAAGTCTCCAAACACTTTTCCTTCTCTATCTACCCTGTGTTAGATTCCACACTTAATTCCCCACTATAGCTTCTCTTTGTGTGTTTACAAAACACTTTGTTCAGTTTTTCAGATATTTCTGAAAATGGGCTGCTACTCCTTAGTAAGAGGAGTAAGATTGAATAATGAAAAAACAAGAAAGCTTGTAGTGATCAGTCTAATTGTTAAACGTTTTAATCTTCAGAGGAAACAGCTTAAACTTTCCTTGAGTTACAACCCTCTAGTTAAAATATTTGGCCTGCTGATAACTGTCAGTTTGCCTAAAATAGTTTAAAAAAAAAAGTTATAGATGTATTTTAATCACAGATTAGGCTATTTTTTTTAAATATGTCAATCTACAATTAGGGAATATTGCATTAAGGACAGAAGACTGTTTCTGATGAAGAAAAAATATGAGTGTTACTAAGAAAGAGGGAGTGAAATGATGAGTACATACAACCACAAACAGGGTTATCTCAACGCTACCTGCTTCAGCTCTTTTGCTTCCGACTCGGAGATCTTCTCGTGACTCTGCAGCTGAACCTGCTCATTGTCCATCCCTTCTCCTCCCACTGGAGATTCGGGCTGCATCACGCCTCCCAAGAGGCCGGTGGCTGCAAGAGAAATTCCCATGGTCAAAGAGTGCCATCTCCTGTTCCAACCAAAAGAATTTGCGGTAACAGCAACCAGTGATCTGTGCTTTGAGCAGTAGCAGCTTTGGAGCTTCTCTGAGTGCACTTGGAGAAGTTAGGCCCAGCCTTGCCTTGGCCTTGCCCAACCAGCCTTCCAGAGAGGTTCCAGACAGGTTCTAGGTGACTTCCAGTCTGCTAGAAAGGCTTCCAGCTCTATTTTGTACAACAGAACCTGGAGGATACTAGACTGCTAAGATGACTCCTTATTAAAGGCAACACCTAGAGAACGTTTTTTTTTTTTTTTGTGCTCTGAGCATTCATCTGAGCAAAGGAAAAAAAAAGCAGCGAAACATTCTCAATTGGACAGATGATGAACCTTCATCTGCTGCTTCTTCTTGCTTTAATCTTTTAAATTAAAGAATTTACAGGTAGTGATTGGGTCAGAGGCCAAGAGCCAAGTCATCAAACCTCCGTACCAGAAGGGCAATCCCAACACTAGCAGCCACTCCCAGTAAAGCTGCAGGGATGCAATTCCTGGCACAACCTTCATTTAAACCTTTATTTAAGGCACCAGCTCTTGTGGCACTACGTGATACTACCCAGGAGCGTGGCAGGGGGTAGCATGGCAAGGAAGGGTTGTTATATCTGATGCAGATGGGTGCTAAACACCCAAGCTGAACATCTTGGCTTCCAGAGGAGCTCCAGCCGTCTCCAAAGTGCTCTCCCACCTAGAGGCACTGGGAAGGAAGAATGTTAAGGCTCCCTAGCTGCCACCTGCAAGTATATCGCCCAACCTTGCAAAGAACAGGGCCAGCAACTGCTGAGGAGGCCAGGACAGAAATTTGGAGGTGAGAGCTCACGGCGAGGTTGAGGAGCTGGTGCCGAGCTGGCTGACGACCTAACTCTCAGCTGCTCTGTGCAGCATTACTGCTCCACAGAAAGGGAGACAAAAGCAAAAACACAACTACCAAACCCTAAATCCCTCTCAAGTAATTACTGCAAAAATCATAATCCGGGGAATTATTCGGTTATCAGTCTGAGAGTTACTGGACTCAAGATTTAAGACAGGCAAATCATTCACTGTACTACTGTTACCCTGGCTCAAGTGCCCCTTGTGTTTGGAGGGGCTAGGAACCAAGCACAAAAACACCCTCTGCTTATGGCACATTACTGATGTGATCTCGCACAGAGGACAAATTGGGGGAGGGAATGGCAGGGTTTCCTACTGCAGCAAACAGCCAGGCAAGATTCTTTATGTTTCTTATCAGTTGAATATCCTCGTATGCTGATTATTTCATTAAAAACAAGAAATCTATCCTTTTCACTCCATTCATCGCACTGAAGATGCGAATGTGAATGGGAGATCGCCAAAAATGAGATCAGGCTTTTATTTTGCTAATAGAAAGTAAAATGAATATAAAGGTACAAGTGTTTGGAATCGATCAAAAAACAAATTTTGTTTAGTTTTGTTGGATCAAGCTGGACCATTGAAAGTGCCACCACGTGAGAACTGAGAGATCACCAAGCTTCTGAGCAAAACACTGGAAACTCAAACCAAAGTGACCACTCTGTCACAGTGGTCAGCAGTAAGCATTCGGGAACTTTGAAAGGGATAAAAAAGACTAAAAATGCCAGTTCTCAGATGCACCTTATTTAAGGTTCTGTTATTACAGAACATGTGAGTGGGGGAAAGCGCTGGTTCCTGCAGCACGCCCCTTACAAAGCAGACCTTGCTGAGCTGTGTCCTTAGCATGCCATGAAAAACCCCATCCGACTTAGTGCAGAAGAACCCCGTCAGAAAAAAAATGCAAAGCAGTTTAAAATAGCTTCGGATAACCTAGTGTGTAGAAAACACTTGTGACACGCTTTTCCTACACAAAATAAAGGCAAAACGCTTAGGAAGGACAGTTGAGTTGCATTTATTTATGCAAACGTGTAATGTGTCCAGCTTTAAAACAGTGCTCGTGAAAACAGGCAGGGTCTGGGTGATGCTACAACAGTGAAAATGTTCCTTGCATAGACGGGCACAATGAAGACCATGAACTAAGCTGCCTCTCCTGCAAGGATGCCTCCTCTAAGCCTCCGAATCCATGTTTGCTATCTGAAAACACACAAATTTTATGTGCATTATGCATGCATGTCTCTGCATATAGACAGACTTTATTTTTCCCCTTTCTATTAAGGAGAGAAAATAAATATTTTTTTTTTTTTTTTAAATCACTATTTCCATCACGTGAGCAGCCGTGGAAAAAACCCAGAGGTTTAAAACACAGTCCGTGACTGCCACCTTGTGACTGAAGCCCAAGAGTGACAGATACCAGGGAAGGAACAAACAAGGGTTTTGGTCGAGCTGGAGAAGTCATGATTTCCATAAGCTCCAGTTCTCTTCCCTGACATTTCCAAATTAAACAGCCCAAATGCAGGTGGGGGTAGGAGAGCAATATCCTTGACTCACTGACTCAGATGCAAACAGAGTGGAGCAGTAGGAAATTAAGCACAGTAGGGCTGTATAACCAATTATTTTATGTAACCAGCCTTAAGACCATCAGGAACTGAGCACCAATTTGCTGGAATAACTCAGTGCTTAAGAAAGCAGCAGGTTGTTTTTCCTCTAAGTTGTTGTGCTGACATTTCAGTGCCAGATGCCCAAGACTTATTTCCTTAAAAATTAACAAGCTTTTCCAAGCTATGGCCCTCGACGACTCATCAAAAAGAGAACATTATCCTCCCTGCTGAAGTCTAGTTTTAGCTTTGTGCACAGAAATAGATTCATCCATTATTTTACTACAGAATTTCCCCCCTCATTTTTAACATGGCAGCAATACATTCATTCACAGATTTGTTCTTCTGTTACTGACCATTAAGAAAGAGAGAACTTCCACTCTTGTTTTTAGGGAATTAAATTCTTAAAGACATGGATTCACTAGCTCTCCAAGGGAATCCAAAAAAAAAAAAAAAAACAAAAAAAGCAATAGTAGTAATTTTATTAAGGTTTTTGAGGATTTCAGTTCCTGCTATGTTTTCTTAAAATGACTGAACTATGCATTCAAATGAATCAGAGAACTAAAATCTAAGAAAACTAAACTCAGTTTCTTTTGTAATCCAAAAACCACAAACTTCTCAAACTACTAAATTCCTTTTTTTTTTTTAAAAAAGGCATAGCGTTTATCCCACATGCAATTTCAAAACTTGTCGAATTGGAAGCTGGTTTTAAGCTTTCTGCAATTAACTGGAAAACAAGTTTCAAGCAGAGACGCTTCCAGCTACAAAACTGCCAAAAGTAAAACAGCAACAATACAGGACTCCGAAGCACTCTGGAGTATGCAGTGAAAAGACGAGAGGCGATTCACCCATTCCACAAAGGACCATAATACTAAACCGGTGACATTGGGAGTGGGGGAGAAAGCAGGGGACACTGCAGCTAAAATGCAAACCAGCAGCTGAAAGAAACTCAGATTAAGCTAATCCTTCTCACGAACTGGTGCAGAGTTAGTGAAAACAGCAGCTGAGAGCACATCAAAGAGCGCGTGGCACGATCTAGCAGTTGGGCCCCTATAGACACCTCAGATTCAGCACCTACACTCACAGATTTTGCTAAAGTGTCCCTGAGAAAATAAATCCAATTACATCCAAACAGGACCGCACAGTTATGTCACCTCTATCCTCACACCCTTCCTCTTGCCAAGAAGGCCTTGCATCAACCAGCAGTTACTTCTCACTTTTTATCATGAACATAGTCTCACTGCTAGGGCAGGGAGGAAGGCCCTTCCCTGTAAACATCATTCAATATTCTGAGTTTGAAAACCACTTGGAAGCTTTCAGAGCTGGTGTTTTTGATTACCAATGGGTTGCTGTTGGTCACCCACCTGCTTGCCAAATGGAGGTGCCCAAATCTACCTGGGGAGACTTCCTGGCACCAGCAAATGCCAGGGCATCTTCCAAAAACTGTATCTTCTTGCTAAACTGCATCTCCAGGATTGGGATGGCTTCGGGCATCTTCGCTGACAACAGCCGGTACGAGGTGTCGGGCTTACCAATAAACCTCTGGCGAACGCTGATTTCATACGGTGTATGAACTCTGATATCATCTACATCTTTTGATTCAAACCGGTGAATGACCTGAGAATTGCAGTCACTGATTTCCAGGCCAGAAGCGAGGAGCGTGAGTTTTCCTGGCTTGACATTTGAGTCTGTTCTGTGGGTGATAATAACTGGAATTCTAATTATGATTCCTTCCTGGTTCTTTGAATCGGAAACTGTGGCAGTTTCCTTTGGCTTGGCTTCCAAAGGTGCTTTCCAGAGCTTGCTGCTAAACGGCCACCAAGAAGGAGATTCGAGTTCAGTCAACAATCTGGAGCAGAAAAGAGAGTGTTAGAAGAAGAAAAGCCAATAGGGTCATACTACCCCACCAATTCAAAGCACATTACCACAGAAGGAAAAGATTTCTTATTACTGAATCCTGCACTCTGTTATTTCACATCTCAATCTTATTCACAACTTACCAGCATCCATACATTAAAAACAAAAAAAGCTTTCCTGCATCCGCTATTATATTGGAAAGCGGTCCCAAAACCTCATTGTTCTCATGTGAGAAATCCAGCTTCCAACTACATTTATTCAAGCCAATTTACACTCATCCATTGAGCTAACACTGCCTTTTAGCTCAGTGTTTCCATACTTGGCACTCAGCCCTTCCGCCTTTTTTTCTTTTTCTATTCCTCTCTGCCTCAGCCGCACAAGTTGTTGCCACCCTTTGCTTTGCCCTAACTCCCAAATTCCCGTTGCAAGTTATAACAACGCAGGTGCAAAGCTCAGGCTGAAAAGCCCAACAGAGATTGCCTGCTGGGTCCCATCTCATGCTGAATATTGGCTTAGTCTCTACAGAGAAGGGCCTCACTGCTGGCAAACCATTGTCTTAGCTTAAAGGTAATTGGATTCACTTTATGGAGGAATTAGGCAGCTTCCTCAAGGGAGACCACATAGCCAGAACCAACACAAGGACTAAAGCTTCTCATTTCTAACCATGAAGATGAACAGCAGGCACCTAAGTTCATCAGCTGTAGGCAAGAAAGATACAACACGTGCATGAGCAACTAAAAAGAAGATACAATGAAACATGGGACATAAGACAACTGCCTTTTTAAAATCAACAGAGCCCATTCCCCCTTCTAGGGACCTCTCCCAAGGATGAATGAGTATCACAGATCTCTTCGGGTTTAAGCTTCACAGTCTTTCTACGGGAAAAGAAATGGGAATGAGGGGAAAAGAAGTAATTTTGGCTTTAATTTCCAAAGTGCCGTGTAGCCCATCTATGATCTAGGTCTAGATGGGTTAAAGGAGAGACGCTGACACTTATTATGCTCCTTTTCTCTCATTCTCTCCATGACCTCTATCCTTACCCCAAATTCGTACATATTAAAAGAGCAAGCCCTCCTCAGGAAGGGCAGAAAAAAGCTAGGATCATTATAGGGAGCTGGCTTGAGGAACACCTGCAGGAAAACACAAGTTCACAAGCCATATCACCGTCTACAAACATTTTCTCCCCTCACTGTTAAAATCTCCATGCGTAGTAAGGAGAACAAATCCCAGATAAATATCTAAAGGGCATGATGAGCTGCCCCATCCTCTCTAGCAGGATGACTGAGCCCTGGAAGGAAGTCTTTGTGGCCAATCCACATCTCTCCACACAATTGACAGTAACTGCACAACCCTATCTCTGCCACCATGCAACTGATTTTCCTACCACGCAGTGGTCAAGCAGCTACCTCCTCTTTCACCCATGGCTTGTGGGACCCATCTCCAGCTGCAGGCATGTGTAGGAAGAGGCTGTCAGCTCCCTGGGATGCATCTGATGCTCAAAAAAACCTCTGGAAAGCAGCAGCAAGCTTCCTGGAAGCCCATAAACCACATGGGCTACCAGGCCACCGAGGCAAACATGACCCTTTAAAATAAGGCTTCTCAATGTGTCTTTCAATCACAGGTGGAACAAGAAAGCCATTGCTGGAGGTACAAAATGGGTTCTCAAGTAAGCAGTAGGGGGGAAGAAGTTGTTTTTTAAACCAAACCAAAAGAACAGCACCAAAAAAAGTCTTCTACCCAAGAAAGAACCATCTCTTCTTTACCATAGGTAGTCTAAAGCTGTCTAGAAACCAGACATGTTCCACCAACACGCAAGCTGCAGAGAACACCTCAAATAAGGCCTGGTCACACTTAAAAGATACATTTAAGGAAACACTCCTTTTTTTAATGCTCCGAAAGACTATTAATGACTTAAATCTCAGAGACAAAAGCCTTATTAGACTGAAATCATTAGTGCTTTTGCGGTATTTTGGGGAGCATGCTTGATTTAATTTGCTTTAAAAGTTCCCTCTAGAAAAGTACTGCCCAATACAACATGCACTGCAGCAGTGCTGTTCCCAAGATATTTATTTGAAATAATTTATTTTCCACGACAGAATCAGAACAGTTCAAAGACGACTTTGCAATTTTTAAATCTTAATTTGACTGCAAACACAGCCTAATCTGGAAAAAAAGATGTCTCTAGTTAAACACACTTTGGCTACTAGCTATTGGAAGATGTGCACCAGCTTCAAAATAGACCTGCTTAAAGAAATTAATCTGCTAGGAAAAGGAAAAAAAAGACATCTTGTGAAAAAATAGAAAAGTCATACTCAGTAAACCACCGAATTCATGAATAACAGAGGGAGGCAGAATGAATTGTTCCAAGAGTCTACTCCCACCGACAGCTTGGACATCAGATATTTATGTAGATAGCATGCGAGATGAGTAATGGGTCTGGAGCTCTCGGCTGCCCTCTGAAAATGCTTTCCTTAAATAAATTTTTTTTAAAAAAATAGTGAAAAAAAAGGTCACAGCTCTGCAATAACAGAATTGGAAATGACACAGTATCACAGATTTAGGGCTGATTTCTGGAACTACAAGGTTCAATTGAAGTTCAGCTTGGAAAAAGAAGATAAAAAGAGGGGAAAAAGGCCCCATTAACACTCACTTCCAAATTAAAAGTCATACTTTAATGTTCCTCCTGATCTCATTTCTACAGGCCACCAAGCATGTTTTTCATCTTCTTCTTGCTATATAAATAGTAACATATATGTGCACACACAAAAATAAGATACAACAAGGACTTTGAGGCAATGTCAACTTACAAAGAGTTATTAAATCTCTCATGTAAAACAGATTTGCTTCTTCATATTTCCTATGGGAAAAGCATGTGCACTGGGTTACTTTTAATCTCTTTGTCCCTTTGCCCATCCTCTCTCCTCTTTCCCAAGGGAGTGACACTCTGGTCACACAAGGTCAGGATTTGCAGGCAAGTTTTTCTGCAGACCTAACAAGTGGTCTAGTCAGCTTCCCTTGGCTTCTGCTGGGAGGTCACTAGTACATCAAAAAACTACAACCACTCCTTAAAATGAAATTAGCAAACAAAATGCCTTGCCCTCTCTCATATGAATATATTAAAAGGGAACCAGTGAATGTGTTTTTATGTTTACTTTTGGTTTCCAAACATCTGCTAGCAAGATGTACTCAGCTGCATGTACTCAGGCCTATGTAAGTACAAAAACTGGTGCACAGAACATCTGATAGAATTAATAATCCAAAAGAGCCCACACATATAGGCAAGATAAAGTTGAACAAACTTTTAAACACAAAAAGGATGATAAAGGGGCCAATGTGACACAGCTTTATGGGAAAACACACACACACAGATAAACTATATTAGAAATAAGTATTAGAATTGCCCCGAAAAGCACAGGGTAAAATAAACAGTTCGGCTAATAGCTTCTGAACCCTACTTTAGTCTGAGCAAGCTGGTTAAACTGTAAGATATTGCAGATAAAACAGAATCTCATCAAACACTTGGTCAATGTCTTCCTTGATTTTTCCCTCTTTAAATCAAAGCATCTAACACTCCAGATTCACAAATAATACCTCCCAATACACCCTAGCCTAAAACAAAGCTGTCTTCCAAAAACAATGAGCAGGTATTTATTTTCCTATTCACTATTTATTGCTACAGCGCCTTAAAAGCTATTGCTGAAGCTCTCAGTTATCTTGGCTTTTCATTAAAGGGCACAGAGAATATTGCCAGAATCACTATGAAATCAACACTTTCTTTAGACATGATATCCATCTGAAAACAGATGTTTCTTCCAAAAGAAACTGGTTTGAACTTTATTGTGTATGTTTCTTTATTCAGCCATTTGAAGCTCCACAAAGAAGCTCAGAGCAACATATCTTCAAACGTTACAACGCTGCCCTTAACCTTACTGTCTATTTTGGACTGCCAACTTGCAGTACACAAAGTAGCACAGAAAAACCTTAAATGTTAATCACTGAAAAGCAAAAGTGTTCCGACTGAGACACAAACCCTTTACTGTTCACACTGACTTCTGCAACAACTAAACACAAGCAGCATCCCAAGTGTGCACCACATCTCTTATCCCAGTTACCTAAATGCACTTTGTGGCTAATATCTTTGGAATTACTTGGCTCTGATGGCTATTTGAGAATACTACAAATGGCCTAGTACTGGAGTGGGAAAGATGCACAATCCTGGCGCTCTGGTTCTTACATCACCACACCAGAGACACAGCTCAGCAGGTTGCTCAGAGCTGCACAAAACAATCCATTTTTTTTCCCTTATAAAATGAACTAATTCCATAGAGATCTAAAGGCAGGGAGTATTTCACATAAGGCTAGAAGCAGTACAACTTAAAAATACAAGAGACCTCCTGTTTCTACAGCCATTTCTCTGACTACACCTGTACCACAGGCCCAGTCCTCACTGCTGCTCTCAGCTGGACAGTTAAGTTCTTTTAAGGCAAAAGGGCAATATAGAGTCCTCAGCTACATACACTCTGTAGGCAAAGAGCAACCTAAAGTGTTATTTTTACACACAGAGAAAGTGTCTCCTACTGTCTTTCAGTGGGAGCATTTATAGAGGAAAGAAATTTTTGATTTTTATAGAGATTTTTGCTCTAACTAGCTGCTCTGGAGGTTTCTACCATTCTGCCAATTGTGGCCAAAATCCCCAAAGAGTCTCCAAAGTTATTTGAAAGACAGAGCACAGGCATAAAGACACAAGGATAACTTCCTGAGGAAGGGAAAAAAAAAAAAAAAGGAAGACAGAAACAAAATCCTACAGCAAGAACTAGATTTACCGAGCTTGAGCTTTCACTGAAAGTCAACAGAGCTTAGGTCTAAAGAGCTTTCTGGATCTGCCCCTGAATTTCTAGACACACACAGTACAATCCCACAGCTCAGAGGATGCTGCAGTACCTGTCTGCGACATCCATATCTCCTTCGATTTTGTTCAGTCCTCTCATGATGTTATCAAACTGCTCGCCCTGGTAATGCAGCACTTTTGCCGTGTCCTCCAGCCGTTTCTGCGAACCTGCCAACAAGCCAGTCAGTTCCTTTCCTTTCGTGGACTGCAGAGCCCCAGCTTCTGCTCCTGTGCCTTGGTTTGACAGCAACTGCTCCCTCCAGAAGTGCTCGAGGATGTTGAACACCACATTTCTGTTCGGTTGCAGAGAACTGAACCAGTGCTTGGTATTCTTCTCCAAGATGGTGAGGGAGCTGAAGATTAAATTTGAAGATTCTTTCTTGATCTCGCTGATACCAGAAAGATGGAAGTTGACCAAAAGTTCACCAGTTTTGTCAGCTGTAAATTTGATAGCAACAGGAGTCAGGGAGAGTCTGCCAGAGACCCATTGCTTGTTGGTATCCAAATAGTACGAACAAGGCCAGCTATGGATACGGATCTCTTCGTTCATCAGCTCGCCGTTCAGATCCTCTTCTGCAAGAACAACACTCTCAAAGCCAGAGGGAGAAACTAGAATAAGAGATAAAAAAATATGTAAGAAGTGATTCTTATCAATATATAACAGCTGAAGTTATAAACATGCTCCTCAAATAACTACTCAAGTCTTTAGACAGCTTCCCATGTTCTCCTGATATCATTTGGGTATCCATGCAAGACAGGCAAAGCAACAGCTGGAAGTGAATTACAAAATTTGGCAAATATCCCCTAGCCATGTGAATATCTATGTCAGAAAAGACCGGCCCTTTCAAAACAGGGCTGCTGGTAATATCGCTATCTCCATAACAGCACTGCTCCCCTTGCTATCATCTCATATTTCAGCACACAATTTAAAAAGACACATTTATAAATTACTGTTGAATTAACAGTGGACATTTAATATCTGTTGTGCAGTGAGTGTTTTGGACAGAGGAGTTAATATTCATCTGTTTATATATTTAGGTGGAAGGGAAACTACAAAAAAACAGGTATCAACACTCAGACGTGTTACAAATACAATCCAAAATGTGTTACAAATACAATCCAATTCAACAGCATGAGTGAAACTAAAATCCCCCACTGGCCAGAACACATACTTATTGAAACAGAGAACTAATTTATAAACGGAGTAATATTCTTCAGAAACCACACCTCTCTCAAACCCTCATGCTTCGTCTCAGAAAGAAAATGCAAAAAAAAAAAAAGAAAAAGAAAGAAAGAAATTTAAACATCTCAAGTGGCTACTAAAGCTTCTGGTTTCAATGATCATATTGGTTTTACAGATACCACAGAACTGACACTCGTCAGCTCAGCATGAAGAAACGTAACACAGAGGGCAGTGATGATTCCACTGCACCTCTCTAACAGCACATGGTTTGCTGGGAGCTTCTGATGTCATCTGCTGACACAACATAATCCCCTCAGACTTACTCACTGTCATCTGGAATCCCAGTAAGAAATCACAGCAATGTCACATGCCCCAGGCCTGCCTTGCTTACATCAAAACAATCCCAAACTGTAACTTAAATGAAACGCATCTAGGTCTGTGTCTCTTCCCACGCTCCCCAGGAGGCTCTCGAATCCAAGGCCAGGTTGCTTCTTGGAACACTTCCTTCATAATCCTAGAGTATTCAGCATAAACATTAAAGAGCAATTACATTCCACAACTTCCTTGTGAACAGCTATTAAGTAATAGTAATTCTATTACTCAAACATTATATACTGAACGCCGTTGATGGATCACAATTTATGGATCAATGCTACAACACTATCTTGAGGTGTTCTGCTACCTACACGGCATAATAAATGATCCCCAGCACAAAAACTCAGTCCAACTGATACAGACAAATTATAGTGACACCAATAACACTTTGACTTCAGTATGATCTGTTCCCTTAATGAAAGGCCTAAGAATGCTAAAGCACAGAAAAAAAAAGAAAAAAAAAAAAAGGAAATAAAGCTAGTGGTGCTTTCTCAAGTAGCAGTTTTGCAAACAACTCACACTCTGAAGATCTCCTAGAGCTCTCCGACTGCTACGTCATTGCTGAGCTCTGAAGTTTGCACATTCACATGTAACCCTTAAATAGTACTCCCCAACACTGGGTCCAGGTCCAAAGATTTGTTTTAATCACAGGCATTTAAAACTTAATCATTGAAATAAGAACTACTCATGTTGGGTCATATTCTATAAAGAGAGACTGCTCACCATACATTGGGCCACCAAAGTTGGAAGGAAACCTAGAGAAATTCAATCTAAAACAGTAGCTATAGTCAACAAAACAATGACAAGACAAGCTCTAGCAAATATTTTTAAGCTTTAGCAAATATTTTTAACAGCTTTATCAATTATTTGCTACATAGTTTAGGGAAAGAGGTAAAAGTGCTTGCCTCAATTCCTTCTTCTACAAAACAAAAGTGATTTTCTCTAATGCAATGATGTTAGATCAGACAAATTTGCTGAAGACAACACATTTTTTCCCCACTTCGGGCTTTGCAAGCAGCCGATCACAATATTTGTTTAAAGGTTATGTGAAAAGAAAAAAAAAAAATCACAGAAAATCAGGGAAAAAAAATAAAAGAAAAAAAAAAACCAACTTTTTAATAGCCAAGTGTGACTGTAAAGAAAGAAATATTAGCAGTGGGATTCCAGAACTGCATTAAGCAGAAAAGGAACTTTGGCAGGATATTTTAGCTGAGAAAAGCTTCTAATACAGATGCACGGTTGTGTGTGTATGATAGCACACTTTCTTACTATCACCAATAATCGCATCAGTTTAAGTAACAACATAAATTAGATTTTTATTACATTTAAGAGCAAGGATAATTAAAATAATTTTTATTTTATTAAAAAAAAAAATAATGTTAAATCTTATCATCAACAAGTTGTTTCCTGCTTGAGCAAGGGGGTTGCACGAGATCTCTAGACATCCCTACCAGCCTGAACCATTCTGTGACTCTGTGATTCTTTGGGTTACAAACTGTAATTTTACATTAGGTTTAACTAGTAAAAGCTATGACTTCCGGACAGCTGTAATCTTTTCAGTTCTGGGAGATATCTTCATAAACTACCAATATCAACCTCCTCACCAATAGTAAATATCCAAAAGCTTGAGTGTGGCAGCCATTCAGCAAGAACGTATGTTTTACAATACATAGCAATACAATTCAGCAAGCTATATGTTTTAAAACACCATATATACCAATACACCACATTCAGCCTCTCCCTCAGTAGTATTGCTAACCATGATATGAAAGCAATCGGACATAAAGACCGATTCAAACACAATCTTGTGTTTGGCCAATTCAAACACAAAAATCTTGTGTTGAACCCTCAAGCTCCTCATATCCTAAATATATCGTAAAAGCAAAATGATTTTTCTGAAGGAGTCTCCACCAAATCCATAAAAACCCACCAGCAGTCCCTTATCCAAAGAGGGTATCAGATTCGGTAAAGCAGTCATGACACAGCTAGATCCCAACTCATATCAAGTAGTCAACATCATTTTTTGGCTTGTCCAACGCAACTTTGGTACTTGTACCAGTTTCTGAAAGCCTCATGTCCATACTTTGCTCACAACAAATTATGATGCCAAGGATTTATAAACTATGATGAAACAGAAAGATTATATGTCTTGCACAAGATCACAAGGGAAAGCTGGAACCAAACGCAGGTTTTCCAGTACTCACTGCTGGGACAGGACCAGCAGAATGTAATGTCATCTCAAAAACAACTCCTAGACCTTACTAGCAACAATATTAATCTCCAAGCACAGCTTGACTATGAGGGAAGAATTTTAAACAAACAAGTAACTCAAATTTTGTTAAATCTCAGCCTGAAGCCTGTTTTCAAATGTACACAGTTCCACAAAGACAGAAGCAGCTCCCTATCAAGGGCACACTTCCTATCAAGCCTCCTCTCTACCATTAAGGCTTTTAAATATTAATATCTGGTATCTCTCACAACTGAGCCATAATTCCTAACCATAATGCAGTTTTCTTACCTCTATCCACAGGCAGTCTGTTCTCAGGCAGCCTTTCAGAGGCTGATATCTTTACAGAACTGTCCATCTGCAAGTAGATTTGTATTTCTCCCTTTTCAAAGTGCAAAAGACAGGGTACAAAACTGCAGCTGAAGTAAAAATCCCAGTATGTCTGTTACCAAACAAAAAAAGGCTATATATAAAGGCTAGAGAAGCATGTTTAATCCTAGATAACAAGAACACGTCCTCTCACGCCAGCAGACTAAAAGCAGTCCTCACTCCACGTGGGTATATATATGTGCATGCCTTGGGTCATATGACTTTTGACTCACCTGAGAGCTCTGAGGACTGACAGTCACCTTCTTTTTGTGCCTGGGGCCAGGATTTTCCAGCAAAGATCTATTTCATAATTAAATCAACGCATTGTTCCACCACTTATTTTCCAATACGTAATGAAGCTTGAACTGCTGCGACATTTACACAACTCTTTTTTTTCCCTTTCTCAGAGGAAATGTGAACATTGCATAAATGTAAAATCTCATGGGAGAAACAAACATTATTTTATTCAGGGATAAAAATAAGTCAACAATGCTACAGAACACAAGCTATTGTTTAAGAGCATTCAGTAATATACTATAATTTGAAACAAGACTTCAAGTAGCCCAAATAAAACAGAAAAATTGACCACAGTAAAACCAAAAACAACTTCAGAAGGTTATGAAGGTTTTCTGTTGTTGTTATCTGGAGAATGTCATTAAATATATTTCTCAACCACGACATTCACACGGTGTTGCTTACAAATTTCTGAAAAGGTACTAAGCTGTGTTTATATTTTTTGAACTGCTAAAAAATACTTTTACACTATCACTTTGGGAATCCTATTCTCCTCGAGTCAATCGTAAAGAAACTTGTTTTTCTTATCTACTGGTAATGTGCATTGCTTTAACCCTTGCTTCTAATTCTTCCACACGTGCTAGGGCAGAATCTACATACCAAGAACAACTTACTATACTCAGTCTGTGTAAAGAAAGGCAGAGTTATCATTACCACCAACTTCATCACTGACATGAACAGTAAATTACTTGCTAAACACCAAATAACTCAGGTACTATCCTTCAAAATCAGAGGATTTTTTTTCCTGATATTTTCTGAACTTTGACACTCACATTTCAGAAACCCTGAACTACAAACTTTCTGACAGTTAACACTGTTGAATTAGGATAAAGAATTATGACCTGAAATTCAGGACCTCTCCCTAGTTCCCCCGGTAATAGTTTTGACCTCATCACTTGTAACTGAGCATTATATGGGTCCTCTTTCTGTTCCTCCCAAAACATGGCTGGGAATGCCTTGCATGACAAGATGTGACATATTCAGGGTTTTGTAAAATACTGACAAAGCCTCACCTAGAATAGCACACACCTGCATTTAAGAAGAAAAAATAAAGAGCTCAACAAATGGACGTAAACAAGGATTGTTGGGAAAATCTTGAAGTACAAAGCAGAGCTAAAAGGAACACAGCTTACTTAGCAAAACAAAAAGTCACAGGTGGATAGGAGAGGGACTGATAGCTGAAAAGGCAGCATAGAAAGGAAAGGAGGAAATGAAAGCAAAGGAAGCTAAGCAATGCAATCCAAAGGACTAGGTAGGTAGGAAAATAACAAAAGGCTTTAAATAGTTTATAGTCACAAACTTACTAAACTTCACAGCATCCTTAAACTCACCCATTCTCACCCATACCCAATCCTTAAACTCACGCATACAGTGGAAGAGGCTGGAAGACCTGGTATTTTCATCATGAATTCATTCAGATTTGCTACAGAAATATGATTTTGTCTACATGTTTGCTTATAGTCCTCCTGGCATAGATATTCTCTCCTGATTTGGGTAACCAAACACGGGATATTTCGTTCACCTCCCACTGTAATTTGTGACTCATCTCTTTTTTAGAGCCAAACCAAATTTGAACGGAGTATCATAGACAGTTATACACAGAAGTACAAAGCAAAAACTAGGATTAGAAGCAAGAAGATGCGGATTATATTTCCGGCTGTGTCACCACATTATATAAATTCCTTTGCTAATATACAACTCCATCGCTGTTTCTATAAAAAGGAGGTGACTCATGCTCTCTTGTGAAGTGCTTCAAGACCATTTAATGAAACTAAGTACTAGTAAGTGCCCCAGGTGCGAAAAGATGCATCTACGTATGCGGCTCGAGTGCTGTGACACCTCGCACACAGAAAACAGTCCCTTTGCAATGTGGTTACCTCAGAGCCTCCAGAACCCAGTCATAGATTTGTCTGTCCTTGTTAATTATCCGCACAACATCCCACGCTTGCTTTCTGCATATGTTTCTGATGCACTAGTGTTTACTTTCCATTCTCTGAATTTTCCTTAGGGTCAGTATCTTTGCCTGTTTATTCTGAAATGTTAGTGTCTGGCAAATAAAGAGCTCAACACACATTGAGCCCAACAGTCTCCATCGTAGAAATATTTATAAAGCCGGACAAATGATATCTCCTTCCTTTTTACCAAGGATTTAATATGATGCCCCACCAGGCTTCTCATGTCAGGATTCTCCGAGAAACTCTACAAAACACAAAGTACTGAGGGGTGACACACCAAGACAATCAGCAAGAGAGGATTCACAGTATTTCTTTACTATGGCACCCAGAGAGATTCAACCCCCTTTATAAAGACTCCAGACTTAGGAATTCTCTCTCATTTGCCCTTCTGAGGCATGGATTAAAAGTACAGAGCAACACAAAGCAGCAGGACAGCAACAACTAAGTTTTAGGTGGTTGTTGAATAGCACTGTCTCACATCCCATGCTTTACCCCACACCAGCTCCCACGGCATCCAAGCTAAACCTCATTAGCCTTATGACACAGTATAAACAACCACTCCAACCCCAAACTCGGACACTTCTACACTCCCCTAACTTTGCTCCTCTCTCCCCATGGTGTCCACCTCGTGTCAAGGATGAGTCCTCATCTGTCCTCCCACAATCTCCTCCTCTTTCTCTTCCCCCAGACTATCTCCATTCTTACTGTTCCTTTTCTCAACCCGAGCTGAAACAAACACCTTCCACCATGACCTTCCCATCCCATTCTATCCTATAATCCCCAACATTTCCCAATGCTGGGTGAGCTCCCTGCCTGTCCCATCTCTTTCCACAGGCCTAGATGAACTCTCCCCAAACCTCCTCTTCTCCACTTCTAGGCCAGACCCCATCCCAGCCCCCATTTCTTTCCCTCCTACATCTCTTCCCTTACCTTGACCAGAGGCCCACTCTCCACCTCCGCTCCTCCTGTTCCTCTCTCCTACTCTTAGCTTGGATACTCCAGCCTGCTTCCTCACAGCTCCCCCACCGCCTATTCCTTCCCCCAGACCGATTCCCCATCTCTCATCTCCAGCCTTTTCCCAGAACCAGGCCACAACTCCCTCTCACATCCACATCCAGATACTACCCCATCTCCCATCCTCCCTCAAGCCAAAGCTCAGCTTGTTCCACGCTCATCTCTTCCTCCAGGTCTACTCCAGCCACCACTAATACCGGGTACAGATCAAAACCCTCATCTCTGAAAGCCTAAGAAAGACCCTCCTCAGCTCCACCTCCCCCAAACCTAGATGGGACCTCCCCAACCCCCACCTCCTGCAACCCAGACCACAACCGTCCCATTCCTTCATCCTTACCCTTATCTTTACTCTTATCTTTATCCCTGTCGCCCCGTCCCGGTCGCGGCCTCACCTGCCTCCCGGCGCAGCAGCCTCCACCCACACCGCCGCTCCGCGCCTGCGCCCGCCGCGCGCTCCTATTGGCCGAGCCGCCGCCGCCCGGTCCGTCCCCTCCTCCCCGCCGGGATCCCTGCCTGCCGCGCGTATAGGTTCCGGATTCCGCCGTGGAGGTTCCATCCTCCGCGACTCACCCCGAGGTCCGTCCCTGCGCCGAGGGGCTGTTTAGCGGTGAGTATCCGCTGCCATTCTGCTGAGTTCCCCCCCCCACGGGACGCGACTGGCGGCGGTAGCCGAGAGAAGAGGTGTGTGCACCGCCTAATGGCGTCCGGGCGCGGAGCGGGGTGCGGCGGCGGCGCCTCAGGGCGGCCCCGTCCCCCGCGGCGGCTCCCGCGGCCCCCGGCGCCTCCTCGCGCCCCCCTCGCGCCCCCCTCTCTATCCCCGTCCCGCCCCCGCTCCGTCCCGCTTCCCGCGCGCCGCCCCCCCCACCGCCGTTATTTAGGAATTTTACCCCATTAATTGCTGTTTTTTTACCAATTTTGCCCTTTTTTTAAACTCGTTTTGTGTGTAGGAACTGCCTGCCTGATAAAGAAGGGTTTGATGTGTGTCTGTGTACGCACACACACGCACACACATGTACACATATACATCTATGTATGTATATGTGCACATACACATTATCCAGATAAATGTTTACAGATAACATATATACCTACGTGTATATAGATAGGACATATGTGTATAGAGTGATATATATTTCATACAGTTGTATCACATGTGTGTTTACATATACATGTTCATTCAATGAACATATACAATGTTCATACATGAACACAATGTATGTTCATACATATATTATGAACATATTTAAATACATTTCCATGCTCATAATATATGTGTGAACATACAACCTACGTACAATGTGTGAAGGTAAACCCAGATTTGGTGTATAGAGGTAGATATTTTCAGTATATTTAGACATATGTTTGTAGATGATATATGTGTGTATATATCAATATAGACATGTATGTCTGTTTATATATGCAAACACCTGTGTGTGTCTATACACATATATATATACACATGTGTATTTGCACATGCATGTGTGTATATATAAACATAGATGTTTAATACATACTTCTGTGTGTGCGTGTATATACATATATAAACACACACATATATACACACATAAACCTTATTTACTCTCCCCACAAAGGGGTGACTCTCAACGCGATCTCCGGGCTGCTGCGGTTTCCTGGAGGGATCTTGGGGCATTTTTACTGACTCTTTCTTATTTCTCAATTAATTCATTTGGCAGGGACACCCCCTGACACTGATGTTCCTGACGTTTCAGGAAGATTCAGCCTTGCTGCAGAGCGTGGGGAGGAAGAGCAGCGTCTTTACCCCGTGCGTGTGACCTTGTTCACCGCCATCCCCATCACCGTGACACATGGAGGATCCTCATTAGCCCCACACAGTGGGACATTCCTTTGCCACCTTCTGTTTTGCCGTTGGACATTTATATTTTTCCCTGAGTTTTCACAGATGTGGAGAATCAAATCACATTTTTAATTTTTTTTTTAATTTTTTTTTTTTTTTTTTGGTACCATCTGGTCAATCCTGTCTTGGCCAAACCAGGAAAGGTACTGGCCTGAATGGACAGGGCAACATTTGCTTGTTCCACTGCCTTTTTTCGTGACTACAGCAGTTCATCTCACACTGCATTCTGCCTCCCAACAGGACACGTTGACTTTATTGAAAAGGTAGACTCATTCAGTTACTCAGACTTTTTCCGGGATTATTTGATTCCCAACCATCCCTGTATTTTCTCAGCTAAATTCACAGAAGGCTGGGGCAGCAGGAGAAACTGGGTCACTTGGGATGGGAAGCCTAACTTCGATTATCTGTTGCAGAAATTTGGTAAGTTGTGACTTTTTTTAATACTCAACTTAAACATGTTCACTAAATGCAAATGACCTTTTTTGTTGCATAGGAATTGAAGCACTAATGAAAACCAAGTAATTTTTCCATGCTTTTTTTTTTTTTTTTAATTCAATGCATTCATTCTCTATACTTACTCATACTTTTGTTTCACTTGGATTCTAATCTCAAGTTTATTTTGATAATAAAATAAAACTATAATGTAATGTAAGCATACCACTTTATGTGCCTGCTTAATTTTATCTAAAGGAGCAATCCTAGAGACCGAAAATATTGAATGGGCAAAGGCGAAAGTATTCTGCAGTTACAGTGAAATATCTCAGAGCATGACTTTAGACTGTAAACCAACAGGAATTTCAGAGGAACCAATACCCAGTTCCAAATATAGCTTGGTAGCAAGAAATTGCAGGTCACAAAAATGACTGTTCTGAGTCATGGCCTCCTAGAATGGAGTTGTCAGGAGTGAGAGCTGGGCTAGGGATTGTTGCCATATGTATTTGTACTGTACTTAGCATGATACTGGTAGATATTTAAAGCTGTTACAGTGCTTAAGGTTAAAGACGTTCGTTTTGAGCACCAATTCTTCTGTTCTCACATGAACTCAAAAAATTTATCTTTCAGGAGAGGCTGTAGTACCAGTTGCCAACTGTGATGTCAGGGAGTACAACTCTAACCCAAAGGAGCAGATCCCCTTCAAGGAGTACATAAATTACTGGAAGGAGTACATTAGAAATGACTACCGATCATCTCGAGGGTGCCTTTACTTGAAGGACTGGCACCTAAGCAGGTAAGGGAGCTCTCTGGAGCATTCCCCACGCCTGTCTAGGGTTTTTATCTCTTTCCATTCATTTCTCTTGTGTAAACATGTCTTGCTCCTAATCTACCTTTTCCCTGTTCAGCCCTTGCTGTGAAACTGTTGGTTTTCACTTAAAATAGTGGAACTAAGTCAGTCACCACCTCCCTCTTTGTCTGTTTTTCCAGATATCTGTCCTGTGTCCGCTATAAACAGACTGTCCCCTAGGGTGGAAAAGGGGCAGCTTGTGATGTGGGAGGAGGTCAGGCATTTTACAAAGTCTTGCAGCTCATCCTCCCTCCTAACATGCACTCCTCCAGCTTGTCATCCAGTTGGACAACCAGTCTTGCAGATGTCTCCTCTAAATAAAATGGCTTCATCAGGGACTGTCTTTGCCAAGATCAAAAGCATTCTCCCAAAGAATTCTTAACCTTCACAGCTTTCCTAGGAGAGGGAAATGCATCGTTGCATACGTTTTGCATGTTTAGACAGAAAACACAAAGAACATGGCTGGCTACCATGAGTGGCATGCTATAGACTCGATTGGTCTCTGCTTCTGGGCTTGGGGAAACAAACACAAAAATAAACAATATAAACACAAGATAGTGCTTTTTTTTTTTCCTTTCTCTGAGACCTCTTTTCCAACACATTATCTTTTTAAGAGCTTTCCCAGAGCAAGATGTTTACACAACTCCTGTGTATTTCACATCTGACTGGCTGAACGAATACTGGGACACCATAGGCGTGGATGATTACCGGTTTGTCTACATGGGACCTAAAGGTTCATGGTAAGGCAGCTTGGTTTCTGTCTTCCTTGCATGCTCTTTTTTTAAGATGAATACTGTTGGGGATCATCACGTTGTATTTCAGGATAGCATCAGGCTGCAGAGATGGCATGGCCATGCTGTGTGGTGCTGTAGAAACCCTTTTTTTTTTCTTAGCAGCTCATTTGTTTCTGCATATGAGCTGTCTTTATGTGATCAGTTAAAGGGGTTTATTTGTTTGTTTTGGCATGCAGTTTTACTGTTCTTGAACTGTAGTGAGACATCTACACACAGAATATGCAAAAAGTATCACCTAGCTCTGATACTAGAGCAGTAAAGCCTTGAGGGAGGTCATCAGCCTCTTCTGATCCATGGAACCATCAGAAGCCTGGGAGGGACACTGATGAGTTAGTCAAATATTTGGCAGTTGGAAGACTAAATCTGATGTGTGATAAAATTGCATTAACAGTATTCCAATCAATTCACACCATAGAGTCTTCTACCATTGAAATATCTATGAGAGATTCAAAAGTAAGTGATAGAGAAGCACAGAGGATGTAAAACACTGCAAAGCTGTGTAGATATGGTGACCTTTTAAAATCTTCAAACAGTAAAAATTAAATGAAGATGACCACTCTTTGGGTTCATATTTGCCTGCATAGTAAAGGTTGATTTCTGTGTGTATGTGTATATATGAAGCTAGAAGTTTTTTTCACATAAATTTACTTTGTGAGCTCTTGGCACTGTCTTTAGTTAAACCTTTGAATTGTCCCACAGGACTCCATTCCACGCTGATGTCTTCCGTTCCTATAGCTGGTCGGCCAATATATGTGGGAGAAAGAAGTGGTTGCTCTACCCACCTGGACAGGAGGAGAACCTCAAAGATCGCCAGGGCAACTTGCCCTTCGATGTGACTGCACCCAGTCTTCAGGACAGCAGTGTTTACCCTCGCTATACCCAAAGCCAACCCCCTGTTGAAATATTACAGGAAGCAGGGGAAATTGTCTTCATCCCCAGTGGATGGCATCATCAGGTTTACAATCTGGTAAGATACCTCATGCCAAACTTTTCAGAACGCAGAGAGAGAATGAGGCTGCAGGCTTCAATGAGATCAAACCTGTATTGCTGCAGCATATTGTGGGTGCTGAAAGTCCAACTGAGCTGAAAAGTAGAGACAAATTGTTGGAGGAAAGATCAGTGTTGGCAGCTCAATCAAGAAAAAAGCTTGAACTCAAAAGTTCCCCAGATCATTGACCACTAGAAGCCAGGAGCATGTACAGCTGGAAGGAGCTACGTGCACTCTCTTTTCTTATTTTTCTTATGAGATCCTGTGTCTCAGTGACCAAAAGTATATTGGACAAGATGGAAGTGTGCTTGGCTGTTACTGTTGGTTTCTACTTATAAATTGTAATTGTCTGATAAAAATGCTAACAAACAATTTGTCTTTGTGATTACAATCCTGTTCTTGTCTTCCACTGTCTTCTCTCATTATTGCCCTCTG